AATTATTCGTACAATCGAAATCCAACTTGAGAGAAAAATACCATCGGTAGTGATCCGGGGATTGGATTATGATTCCAACCCTAGCTGAGGTCGAGGTAGTAGAGCCATCAAAATATTGCGTCCAATAATTATCACGTATTTCCACCATGCCAATTTCGACATCGTTGCCCCTAAAACCGTATGGAGATAGATGTTGAATTAAGAAATCAGTCAGCGCTTGTCCTTTTACAACTTTCTAAGGCACGTATTGTAAACTAAATTTGGGCAGCGCCATTGTCCATTTTCCGATGCGGCCTTCACTATTGGTCGAGTAAGCATATATTGGGGCGATTACCTGCGTAATGGAAATGAGCATCTAATGCTGGTGCTTGGACGCAACGAAGAACAAAGCCAAACAAAGTTTCTCGACGGGTGAATAATTTATCTCGACCGAGTTAAGATTCCAGCTAAGATAAAAAATGGTCTGCTCCAGTCCTGTGTCATTATCATGTGCAAGAAGACAACCAATGGACTCCTCGACGGCCGACATATACAACTTGAGGGGTTTACCGCGCCAAGGTAGCACAAGGACAAGTAGGGTAGTGAGGGAGACCTTAATTTGTGTGAATGCATCTTGGTGCTCCTCGCACCATTCGAACTTGTCAGAATCCTTAAGTTTCAAGAGCATGGACCCAGCCGAATTAGAAATGAAGCGGCGGAGGAAATTGATTTTACCGAAGAATGATTGTAATTGCTTATTGGTTGTCGGGGGTGGGGCATCAATGATCGCTCGAGCTTTATTTGCATCCATCTTGATGCCACGATGATGTACAAGGAAACTTAAGAATTCCTGGCCGATACACCAAAGGCGCATTTGGTAGGATTTATTTTAAGGTTATGTTGGCACATACGTAAGAAAGCCTACCGAAGATCACCTAAATGTGTTCGGCAACGTTTCGATTTGACTACAACATCATCGATATAGACCTCAACAATGGTACCAATTAAATCATGAAAAATAATATTCATAATGCATTGGTATATGGCACCGGCATTTTTAAGGCCGAACGGCATGACAACCCATTTGTAAGTCCCGAGTGCCCCCAGACAACGAAATACAGTTTTGTGGACATTTGCCTCAGCAATGAAAATCTGGTTGTAACCAGCATGGCCATCCATAAAGGATAACATCTCGTGGTTTGTTGATGCGTCAATTAGCAAATCTGAAATTGGAATTGAATATTCATCTTTAAGGGTTGCCAAATTCAAATTTCAAAAATCGATACAAATACGTTGAGCATCACTTTTCTTTAAAACTGGGACTATGTTCGCCAACCATTCGACATACCGAGTTGTCTGAATAAACCTGACTTTTAAAAGTTGAACAAGGTCATCTTTATGCCGAGTTGTACTTCGGTCGAGAATCATCGAGCGGTTGGCGAAACGGTTTACAACCTGGTTTGATGAGTAATTCGTGTTGGACGAGCGTTCGGTCTAAATCAAGCATCTCATGGTAACTCTAAGCTAAACAATCGTTAAATTCCTTGAGTAAATTACAAAGCTCAGTTTTCATAAGTTGGGGTAACAAAGCATTAATAAATAAAGGTTGCGGGTCTTTGGCCTTCCAACATTTATTTCTTCTAAAGGGCTTGACTTGGGGTCGACTATCTTCGAGCTCGGCCAGGGCAGCTTGAACCTTGTCAAGGGATAGAACTGGATTGTTGTCTCCTTTGGCGAGAAAATCTACTAAGTTCACACCCGAATTGGGTTGCTTGGAAATAGCATACCAATGGGCCAGCAGTCGTTCCATGATGGATGAAACCGTGGCCCGGTGTCTATCTTGTTTGGTATCACACATCAGGATCGACAATCATGTCAGCCAACTAAAGGCTTACCAAATCCTTATGAACAATCTCAGTGCCTACCTCGATGGCTTTCTGAATTGAGATTCGAGTCGGCTGTCCTTCCTCATTAAAACCTTGTAGGGTGATGTAGCCGATATGATCGTCATAATAGTGAGCCTAAATCATATTAGCTTTGACCGGTTGATTGTCAGCCGGATGAACCACGATCGCTTTTCTATCCCAGAAGATGAAGACATGATATAATGACGAGAGGATGCAGCTCATTTGATGAATCTAGTCACGACCGAGCAATGCATTACACTCGTTCTTCGAATCGACTATGAAAAACACTGTCATATGATTACAACCTGCGATATTTACCTCCAACAGAAACACTCCCTTGGTTTGGGATTTGTCACCGACAAAGCTACTCATGATGACCCCTGATGGAATAAGTTTGTCGTTGGAACGACATAATGTCTTCATGATTGCAACGGGCATGATGTTGACCGTTGTTCCACAGTCGACGAAAATTTGGAGGCTAGATATCTTTCAATATGATCCGTAACATATAACGACTACAAATGATGAAGATTAACTAATGAAAAGCGAGGAAACAATTCGGCAAGAGCTACTTTGAGTTTATCTTCTTTTATTGCCAGCTCAATCTCTTCGGAAGCTACAAAATCGACTTCCGTGGCTTCCTTGGGCACCATGTCATCGTCCAGGAAATTTGGTTGGGATGCAGTTTGCTGGAGCTCGGCAGGTAAGACATGGACCATGCTGATTTCCATGTTGTCGAAAATCGAATGACCTATCGGATCATGATCATCTTCCTCTAGACTTTCAAGCGAGGTATCCTGCATGTGGGTAGTATCAACTTGATCTACTTAGGCTGTCGTCGGAGTATATTCCTGCAATATGTCCACTAGAGCCTTCTCGTTCTGCACGTTGACCTCGGGTTTGCTTGGTGTTGGAACTGGGTTTTGGTCTTGTGACGTCATACGAGTTTGCTCCTGATATGCAATGCGGGCGTTTCTCATGTCAAGGTAAGCATCTAATTATGCTATGCGTTGCTTTTCATCGACTGTAAGGCCGAAGAGGGAGACGGCTGAAAAAACTTCAAGATGGTATCGTAAATATTGAAGGTCCTCAAGAGAAAAAAGAAGATCAGAAGCATCAATATCAGTATATGGATCTACCTCAAAGCTGAGAACTCGAACCTCACGTATATGCTAGAACTTGGCTTTTAACCCCGGATCCGAGGTCTTTTGGATGATTCGTTCAGCATCGAGGCAAGTTAAAACGAGATCAAGAGTATCTTGGCATACTTTTGGCAAGCCGTATAAGTCATTTGCCGAATGCTTCTTATGAAGCTCCCGCATGTATTCTAAAGCTTCACCGAGAAACGGTGGGTAGAGATTCCATCTAACTCTGATCAACGATTCTTATGTAGGTAGCAGGGGAAGTTTGCTCTCGGCTTCCTTCAGGAAGTACTCGAGGTGAGCTTTTATTTCCCCAGGTCGAAGAATGAGTTTGATTTGCTTTTCAAATTCTTCAATCGTGGTTTCATAGTCACGATCGATCACCTTCTTCCCTTGGAACAGCTCGGTCATGATCATCGGAGGTTATTGGTCATTGTCATTACCGGACGTTTCCTTCGGCTGCCATTTGGTAGCTGAGGTATCCTAAGTTGCTCTCGGCGGGCCATATAATCCATTCTTTGGCGTCGATGTTTCTGTGATTTAGACAACATAATATATATACCGGTATGGAAGTTGTAGGTATACCAGCACTGATAGCGTGGCTCAGAAGGTCTAAATGTGCGCTGGTTCGCAGGTGAACTTGGATTACCAGATTTGCGAGCATAATAATCCTCGTTGTGAAACAGCGTGTCGAAATCAAGGCGTTATCTGGCTGAAAATGGCTTGTTATCTTGTACTTGAGAGCCAAGCCTATCAAAAACTTTATGGCGTTAGCCTGTATCGATCACCTTTTAGAATGTTAACGCAACTGTGGACACTTGTTGCGGTATTTCGACCAGACATGGCTTTTCCTTTGGCTCAGCTAAGACGGTGCTCACTTTGCATCGACTACATAAAACCATAGGCCCATCAGTTTTCTCTACACCAGAGTCCGACATTGACACCATAATAGCAGGTCCCGTCAAATCTTTGGGTGGCTCGTTTGAAAATAAATCAATCTTCAATTGTGGCCAAGAGTTCTGCTTTGGGACAAATTGCATTGGAACGAACTCGGCCTTGCCTTTACCTTTATTCCTAGGTAGATAAGCATCTACCATGCTTACTGTCGCCGCAGGGAAAGAATCGAATGACTAAAATTGCACTTATTTGGGGCCATCATAATCTTAATATTCAACCGTAAAATCCCCTAAGAATTATGTAATATGAGACTAGCCAACCATTCAAAACTAAATCCCTAAAATCCTAATCATAATCCCCACTTAGAATTAGGCATTATTTCCCCACATATTAAGGATCTTTAAATTTTAAACAATCAAGGGGGTGACAAGGAGAGGTTCCTATCTAATCCTAATTTATTAAACACACAACACCTAATTTAAGTGACTTGACCATAGTCATATTAATTAAATCTGTATTCATATCTCCGCATCCAAAGTTCGAATCGCCTCTTAGTACATACATGTTAAACAAAATGTAGACAAGTAGAGGTTTATATGTAATCATAAATAATTAAATATGATCTCATCATAGCCGTATTAGCTAGAACAATATCCTCACCCATGCGTATTCAAAGTTTGAATCACCCTTCGCCAGTCACCTCTTGCCCCAAGCCTGAATCACCTCCTCGTCACTTAAATTGTATTAGAATATCGCTTAAATCTTAAACAGTATTAAAATATTGCTCGAATCGAAAAAGAAATGCACACACCTCTAATGTTAACAAATGTTAAAATATTTAATTAAACATTACACTTTACAGGCAAAGCCCTCCTTCCCCTTCCGTACCAAAAAATTGTTGGGTCTAGCAAGGAATTAGGGGGAAGAAATATTAGTAGTGCCACCACCAAACCCTAATCTACAAGGGAAGATGGACGATGATGATGAAAATGATGGGCCGGATGCTACAAAACATGCAGGGCCACCAAATCACATATTCCCACCCACCATATCTTAGACGACCGACCTAATAAGGTTTCGGAAAATTTTACATTATATAAGAATTGGTACGCTATTACAACCGCTTCTGTTTTGCCAGTCCTCCGTGCACTTTCAAAATAGTAACATTAAATTGCAATGCAAGTAGTCCTTTATCACAATCATGAAAAGAAGTATTACCTTTGCACCGCAGCGTAGTTCAAACATATTCGATTTCCTAATCTAACAAATCTATCATTTGCCAAAAAAACAAAATAATAACATTACATCAATACCCTGATTTTTTCCTTTTTTTTTTTTTTTTTTTTTAGTTTTGCGCTAAAATATAAGGGAGATTCTTCTACGGTTTTTGCAAAATGACCAAATTGCCATCGCTCGGTTTACGGGTTTAAAAACTACGACCGGGGATGGAAGATGTCGAAAGGCAACGGCCGGTGGGGGACGGTGGCGGCGGAGGCCCAGGGTTTGATAGGCAACGGATGCCGCTGAACGGGGCCCATCTGCGAGTGGGGCCGAGGATCGGCCGCGGACGATGAGGAGTTGGTTGGGACCCCGACACGCTCACACGAGGGGCACATGGTGAGTGTTGTGGGTGGGGTCATCTGCATATAGAACTGCGGGGAAAGTTTCAGTGCTCTCAGCTCCTGAACCTCTTTTTGCAACCGCCTGTTCCGCTCCGTCAGATTCTCACAGCACCTCTTCAAGAACTCACAGTCCACCTCTGTTTGCTTCAGCTTGGTTCTGTAAAATCACAAAAGAATAAAATCTGTAAATAAGCCTGCACCGCAGGGGTATAACTGTAAATTAGGTATATGTTTTTTGCTTGCCGAAAATACCACCTTGCTCTTCTGTTCTGAAACCAGACCTCCACTTGTCTAGGCCGAAGACCAAGCTGTTTCGCCAACGCCAATTTTTGCTTCTGCACCAGAAAAAATGAAACCGTACGTGTCAGTGGACTTTCTCAGCATCCAACAGAAAGTTTTGTCTATTTTCTCGGCAACCAAACAGAACTAATCGCAGGGAGTGGCAGGCAGACAAGTAACACTTACAGGGTTGAGAGTGTTGTGCTCCTTGAAGCTCTCTTCGAGAATGCCGGACTGGTCCTTAGAGAGCCTGAGCTTCTTTCTGGAGGTCTCGCCGTCCTCTTCGTCGCTGAGGCCTCGAGAGCAGTCCCTCTCGAGGTCCAGATCTTCGCCATTGGTGTCTCTCTCGCTCCGCTTGCCACTCACGGTCGACACGGTGCTGTTGGGGGAGGACACCCCCGCTTCTTCGCAATCGCCCGTCGGTGGCAGCTGGTTCACGTCGATGCCCCGCAGGAATGATCGGGGCCCGGCCCGGCACGTCTCCGAGTTAGAATTTAGATCTGCATGTCGGATCGCGATGAAGTTAGGAAACAAAAATAAATTAGATCATAAAAGGAAAAAAGTTGTGGGTTTGGTTTGAAATTTGGTGAAAAGTTTGTTGTAGTTTTAGATCTGAAAGACAGACATTGAGAAAATCATAAAAGCTATGTTTTTTTGTAAAAATGTCGAAAATTAAAAAGAGGGACAACCCAAAAGGAAAAAAGGGGATTTTCCAGGGTGTTTGTTTCTCGGGAAAAAGAGGTGAGAAAATTGGTGGGAAAGCCAGATCTGAAAGTAGAAACGTACATGCAAGATAGAAAGAGAAAAAGCACAAACCTGAAGAAGGCAAGGGATTATTCCAGAGGGGCATTTGGGGAAGAAAGCCAGAAGGAGAAGAAGAAGCAGCAGCAGAAGTTGGGAGGAGAGAAGGCATCAGATTCAGCTGAAAGCGGCTGCTGCTTTGATTGTTATGGGTGTGAGGAAAATTCAAGCTGAGACCGAGACCCAAATCCTCGCTTTCAACCATCATGGTTTGGTTTTTGGGTAATTTCAATTTAGTTCCTTCCTTTTGAGGGGGAATTTCACTCTGAGTCCTGATTTCAGTTTCAGAACAAAAGAGTTGTGAGAGAGGTTGAAGATAAAGAGAGGAAAAGGGGAAGAGAGATGTTTGGGAGTAGAGTGGTGGGAAAGATGTGGGTGGTTTTATAGAGAGAGAGAGAGAGAGAGAGAGAGAGAGGGAGGGAGTGGTGTGTAAGTTCAATCATGACTAAGGTGTCAGGAAGGGAAGCCCCCCAATTATCTCAATCATAGTTCTTGTTCCCCAAAATAATGTGCCCAACTCTCTCTCTCTCTCCCATTCCCAACCCGCTTTTTGTTTTTTTTATTGTTTTTTATTTTTTTATTTTTAAACAGTAGGAGAAGGTTTAGTTTTAAAATGAATTAGCAATAATGTGATTCAAATTATATTAAGGCGAGAATTGAACCTAAGAGCATCTCTACAAGAAATGTTAAAATCCTTGGTAAAGTGCCACTATGCATACTTGACATCAAAAATTTCTCCAACCAAAATATTATTTGCTAACTTAATTTGAAAGTTTTGTAATTTGAAATCAAATTGACATCAATATCAAATTTATTTTTAATTCATTATAATAATGGATCCCTTATTCCTAACATTTCAACTGATAGAAATTGTGTTTCAACATTTTTTAAATAATTATAACCATTTAAAGTTCTATTTAAATAGTAAAATAATATTTAATAATTCAATTGGAAAAGTACAAAATTTGACATAAGACTTCAAATTGTCACATCAGTCATCAATTTTAATTTGACTCTTATAATTTAACATTTCCTTTGAAGATGTAAGCTAAAACGTTGTACTAAATGGCACATTTGTCCTCTTATTTACTCTCTTTACTTTTTAACCGTGGTAAATGGACGGGGGTGGGTGGGGTGGGGGACACATCTTTCAACTGAGATTTTTCCAAGTTTTATTGTGTATTTTTTTTTTTACAGTTTGCTGTCATGGTATGGTGGAGCTCTAATAACTGCAGTGTTTTGACCTTTGACCATGCCAAACACACAAAAACAGGAACAGAAAAAGAAACAGAAGAAGAATATCTGAGCAGTTACAAATTGATTCATTATTTGTCTACTATTTGACATAAGTGAATGATGGGATGGGGACTTGAATTCAATTTACTCTTACTTATTTTGTTAAATTTATAACAAAAGATTATGGTTTTTTTGCTTATCAATAAATCAGAATTAATGTTTTTATGTTTTACGACTAAATGATATAACGTGCAATCTCATTTACTTTTAAACCCAACTTCATGAATCACTGCTAATTTAAGCAATTTCTATGAAGTTCGTAATTGAGTGATGTGAAAGAGACTAGGATACTAGGAAAAGCCAGGATTTTTTTTTTGGCAAAATGATTAGGTTGATTATGAGATCAAATCTTCTGCATTCAAAGTAGATGTAGTCTTTTTATGACTTCAATAATTAATTGACAAATATTAAGTTTATGACAACAAAGTTAAAAGATATTAAGTTTATAAACATGTGTCAAACAATGGATGGAGTCACAGAGAAGCCACACACATTTTGGATGCAGAAGATTTGATCTCGTTTATTATAACATTATGGGAGAAATGCTAAGGAGACTCTTTTTTTTTTAGAGAGTCTCCATAGTTCTCCATTACATCACAGTTTAACGTTAATTTTCATGCGACCATTATAAAATATTGTGTCAAAAACATGAGATGACAAAGAGTTTATGGAGAGTCTCACTTTTGAGAAACTCTCCTTAGTATTTCTCAAGTTACAAACTAGAAAGAAAAAAAAAAAGGCGGGCATACTGGGTAAAATTTAATGAGTCCTTAAACTAAAAAGACTCAAAAGCAACAACAGGACCAACTTGACCAATATAATAACTACCATAGTAGAAAATATGTGAGCGTGACGCGCACAAGAGTCAAGTTTAATCTTATACGATGCAGAATGGGGAACATTGCACAAGTCTATCAACAATCATTCATTTAAAACGAAGGGGTTAAATTCGAAACTTTACAATAATTTATGGAATAACGGAGTTTCGAACTTGAGACTCAGGTATGGAAATCCAACATCATTTTCACTAAGATATTAGACCACATGCATATAAAGTAAAAACATTTAAAAACATTTAACTTCATTTACTTTTAAAACAATTAATTTTTGTTGAATGAGGTTCCACGCGCATATAAATTAAAAACATTTAATTTAGCTTGTTGAGTTATTATTGAGGAGAAAAAAGGTATTTGAAAATCTTTTTTTTATTTATTTGATTATGTTTACAGGCCGACTTATATTTGTCTCTTGGCCTCAATTATAAATTTATAAGTCACTTTCATAAGGTAATTATGGAAAATAAAATAAGTCCATATTACAATGTCTTTGGCAATATGATTGAAAACGTTACCGAGCAACGAGGGGTGAGTGATTTGAATTATTCTCATTCTTTTTCTTTTTCTTTTTAAAAAAAGAGGACAACTTATAGTAAGTTACAGTTATTCACCCCTTTTAGATCCAGAGAGGTTATGGAGAATTTTACCCTGGTCTGTGGTCACAATCAAGCACGCTCACCAGCTCAGAGCATCAAACTCAAGCCCTCCCACATTTTTTTGTTTATTAGAGAACTGCAATATGCGCCCTTACCACTAAGCCACTTGCTATGGTTGTATTATCCTCATTCTTGACTTAAATTATTTTGTGTTTATTTTAATTCGTGATACTGAAAATTGAGATTTAATCTGATTAAGAGGGATAATTGATCCCATACTTCTCAACACATCTTTTTGGTGAGTAATATTCCAGTTTTATTTAATAGATCACAAAAGATTTCAAAAACTTTAAATGTTTGTTCTTAAAGAAAAAAAACAACCTACATTGCCACTTAATACTTACGGTCTAGTGATATTCTTTTTTACTTGTAAGTGAAAGGTCTTAGGTTCGATTCTCGTAAAAAACGAAGTTGAATCACATTATTATGGCAAGTTCATTATAAGGATTAGTTCATTCTTCCACTCCCTTGGTACTATCGTTTGTTCAAAAAAAAAAAAAAACAACAACAACAACAACAATCTACATTGCAATAAGATCATCCCAAAGGAGCTGTTAAATTTTAAGCATAAAAATTTAAATTTGATAGACAATGTGGTATACTTTGACATATTTTTTAAGTTTTATTCTCCACCCAATATGTCCAATTTTACTATAGGAATTGACATATCGGTTAGAAAAAATAATGTTATTCTTTTTTATTGTTATTGTTGATGTGAGCTTTTTGATATTTTTTTTTAGAGATGCACTTTTGCTTATTACCATAACTATGATATATGAATCATTATATATTTAATTATTTATCACGTGTTTTTTCATTTAATACTAATTGATTTTTAGATTAAATATTATTTGTTCAAGTTAAAAAAAATAAACAAAATTAAATGAAACAACACGTAACAAATAATTAAGTGTATGATAAAAATACATTATAATTTATAATGGTGGGTAAAAATACTCCCATCACATCCAGATGCAAAATCCCACTGAATCTTTAGCATTAATGTCGATGGCCACATATCCCACCATTGACGAGATGAGTCAGACCGACGGCTGAGATCAACCAAGTCACATTGCCCCGTACACTCCTGTACACTTAGTTACGAAGCTGAACAACCATGGACTATCAGTTCCCTTGGAACGGACGGCCATGATTGGAACCCGCACAGATAGGAAGCTCGTCAATGTGGGTCCCATGGATTTTCTTTATTTTCCGAAAAATCTTTTCATGTTGGTAACATACATGTAAACCCCACCATGCGACTCCCACGAAGGGAGTGGGGGCACGGGGTCTCTGGTTTCAACCAAAAGTGTCGCTTTCTCAGCCTTTTTCTTATCATCAATACGCTGCGTTTCACGGATGACTAAACTAATAATTGTGTGACTTGTATTCTGGGAGCAATTCTATTCCTAAAAAAATACGCCAACATCCAGCACATTAATCCACTTAGTGAACAGTAATAAATCTCAATAAACAGTAATATGTCAAATGCATCTCCAACCCTTAAAAAATGCGCTGGCACAAAGTCTAAAAATGCCCTAGCACAAACGATCTCCACCCCTACAAAATACACTGGCACCCAACCCATTTAAAATATTTTAAATTTTTTTATAAAAGAATAAATAAATAAAATAGTTTTAATTTTGGATATGATTTTTAACCAATCTCGTCACGCCACATGTCATTATCCGAACGTACTATTTTGTGAATAGATTTTCGCTATCACTTCCTGTTTACAATAATTTAGCCAAGATTTCGATAAGATTTTCAACCAATCACGTAGTGCCACATGGCATTGTTCAGAACCTCATCCTTTCTTTTTTTTGTCCATATAAACCCTACATCTCTACATCTATCCTCACACCAAACTCAATCCTTCTTTTTAGCTCAAAATCCTTCTTCATCATTTTCAAATCTTGACTTCTTACAATGTCTTCTTTAAGGAGAGTGTATAAACAATTTGAGGAGCAACAAAAAAGATTGTTGGAACAACATGAAGAATTGGTCAATCTTGAGGAAGGTGGAGGTGGAGATGAGGCTTTCGCAATGGAGGAGGATGAGGATGATGACCATAGAAGGCAGAAAGCTTCACATTCCCACCGTGTCATGGAAGCTGTAGGTCAGATAGGCAAACCCAAACGTGCCGCAAACTTCGATAGAAAAAGGGAAAGACGAGGTAAAGATCTCTTGGAAGATTATTTTATTCCCAACAGCGTATTCACTGATCATGTTTTTAGACGTCGTTTTAGAATGCAATGAAGTTTGTTCGACAAAATCATGAGTGTTATTTGCAACCATGATCTATATTTTGTGCAAAAACAGGATGTTTTTCATGTTTTAGGTTTTATTCCTGAGCAAAAAATTATGGTTGCCTTGTGAATGCTTGTATGGAGCGTGTGCAGATCAAGTGGATGAGATCGCGAGGATGGGAAAAACAACTATTCTGAAGTCCCTGATGCGGTTTTGCTCTGCAATTGAAGCCCTCTACACCAATGAGTACCTTCGGAAACCCACACCAAAGGACAAGCGAAGGCTTCTGAGGAAGGGTGAGATGCGAGGCTTCCCTGGCTTGATTG